CAACGGCTTCCACTGCCACGAGAAGAAGCATTCTCCGCTACTATTCAATCGCCACAGTGTTTAATAAAACAAGACAAAACAAAAAGCTCCTCCCACTTCTGACAAATTTTCTTTCTTTGTCGAGCATAATACAATGTTCTCTAGACACTTTTTTTGTTCTCTCTCTCTCTTTTGAGTGTATAATTATGAAAAGAGGACAAAAGCCTGGCTCCGGAAACATTCCAGCTGTTATTATTTGTCCGCTGCCAGGCCAATCATTAAGCGGTAATCTAATAGGTTTAATTTTTTATGATGTTATGAACTGGGTGTGTGCACTATTAGATAATATGGCGAGCTCTCTCACCTCTTTTCTAACCCTCTCTCGGGGTTCGAAGGAAGTTAGGACACGGGGTAAAAAAAGTACGATGGCCAGCCCCGTGTTTAATGCCGAGTCTCGTCTCGTAATAAACCTTAAACGCGGTATTAACACCAATGTGATATTTTGTTATTGTCATTTAATTTTTTTTTTCATAAAGGATTATGTTTTATCTGGAGGAGGCCTATGCGAGGTGCACTGTACGGGGTTTAAAATATAGTCCGTGAGTGCGGGCGGTTTTAATAGCGGAAAAGGATTGTACGCACGTGGTTCGGCGCGAGTCGGATAGTAAATCAAGCTTAGTTTGCTTTCCCGTATACGAATCGCAAACGCTTTGGGACGCATGTAGAAACTAGGGGCGGATCCCGTTTGGCTGCGGGGGGTAGTCGGGGGGGGGGGGGGAGCAGGCATGTTATATTTGTCAGCATGATTTTCCTTCTTTTGCGGCCCAAGGTAGATGGTTAAGCCTCCTATCCTTCAATCGAAACGATCGAGTTTTTACTTCAGCTTCGACTGAAGTGGTTCTTTTTTTCAGAATTTTTCAATCTAAAATGAGAGTGATTATCACTCTAAAACTTCTAGTCCCTAATTTCACTCTTTGGAATTAAGAGAGGAACTCCTTAGAAACTGTAAGGTAAGTGTGCGAGGAGGAATTTTGAGGGTATTACGGGAAGAAAAGAGAAAATACGATGAGGAGACAAAATTGAAAGACATCGTAAGTGTGGATGAGCGATGGGAGATGGTTAGCGGTTGAGAGATAAAAACAACTTGATTTCTTTCTGATTACGTTCTTCAGTTTACGATCACTCTCCATTTCCCCTTCCCTTCATTATTGATTTGCTCAATGCTGTTCCTACATTCCATCGTCACCTTCACCCAAAATCACCACCATATTCACCGCAACGACCGCCAACGTCCCAATCACAACCAAGAAACTCACCATCACCATCCATTCTCACTACAATAATCTTCCGCTTCTACATCTTAAATTCAAGACAACCACACCAGAAGAAACAGTTGCGATAAAAGTGGGAAATTTGAAGAGAAAAAAAACTACGACATTAAGTTCAAATCTAGGTGCAAAATAATAATACCAGAAAGAGAATAGTAAATGAGACAGTTTGGAAGGATGGAGGTGTTGGAGGGGGGATTTTGGAGGTAAAGATTAAAGAAAAGACCTTCAAAACGCAATAAACATTGAACATACACATATACAAATTTGGCCTTTAAGTTAAACAAAGCGTGTAACGTGATGTACCGGTACACAGAACAAAATGGCAGAGACCTGTTACGTGTTTCTGAGATTATTTTCTGTTCCCTCAAATTTTCAATTTTGTTTTCTTCCACTATAAAAATATTTATTTCGAAGGCTGTACGCTCACCAGTGAAGAAATCTTCTTGGAATTAAAACGAGTTTCATACATTGGAAATCAGAAATGTTGTTTATAATAGTGTGTGTGTTTGCAAGGCAAATTTATCATTTTCATCAAATCGTTGTGGAGATGGATAAATCAGTGCACCACTTTCAACTTTCAAGGCTCAATGCATGACGTTTGCAATAACATCTGGACTAAACAAATCTTGAACACAATATCGTGGAGGCAAAGACAACTTAAACGGCGGTAACTTCTAAGCAGAAAGTAATTAACTTGCAACCAACAACTCAAGACGGTGGTCGATACCAAAACAGCGATTTCTTCGACTCTTCTGGCGAAGATTACGTCCCAAAAATATATATGTCTATCCAAGGCATTACACCGGACTGCATTGTGCCGTAAAAATTAAAATTTAACAGAAACAGTATCACCGACTATTGTGCTTGTTGCTCCTATATCGCGATCACAAAAGCCCCGGCCGTGTCGGCCTCGTGCCGGTGTGATTAGGCCAGACGCAACGCTTCGATTGGACTCCGAGTGTGAACTTGCATTTGTTTTTATTTTTTTTTATTTTCATATATTTTTTTTTTAATTTTAGGGCGCATGTGCAATATCCCCATATCATCAATCTCAAATCACATAGAAAACGCAGGGGACGACTGAGGAGTACGGTTCATGTGACCACAGAATAGGTCTTGATTTGTTGTCCAGTTGAGACTATGAGGAGGATTGTCCGTGGTGTGTTTTATCGACTGACAACTTCCCTGCATGCAATGCGAGAAATACCGTGCTACCATTGGACACTCTCTGACGCGCCTTTGGGGGTATACGCAGTATGGCGGGCAAACTGGGACGTGAGGGAAAAACACGTGTGGCTATCTTATAGATCAGCTATACTCATCGCAAGGAAAGCAGTTTTAAATTAAAGGTTTTTTTTTACTGTCGGGCGCAACAGCCACGCGAAATTACTTTTTGATATGAAACTTGAAGTGTCCTGAAGACAAATTGAATTAAAATGTGCGTGCCAAGGATATTTCTTGCCCGCATATTGATCAATCCGAGGGTCGAATCTGCCCCCTGCTGAATTAGAAAGAAAGTCTTCAATCTGCTTCTTTTCAGCCGAAAATAATTATTTCAATCTGGACTAATGAAAATGCATAATTTAACGGGGGCGATTTTTCCCCCTATTCGGCAACACTTTCAAAACTACGATTACATTATGGGCCCCAGCAAGCGGGGAAGTCAATTTAACGCTAATAACGGCGGAACAAAGTATCATTGCTAATCTGTTGTGAAAGTGGCAAATGGCCCAGAACAAAACGGTGGTCATGTTTTGCCCCCCTCGACAATATGTGACAGACGGGGGACCCCAGCTATTCCACAAGGCATACCTGCTGGTGACACAGACACAAGAAACCAAGACGATAATGTGCAAGTCAAGGATTTTTTTCCAGGCAGCAGACGAGCCCCTATGTTTACCCAGGGACACAAGGGGCGGGAGAAACCGTTTAATTTCTACTTTTTCATCCATTCGGTGACATGCTTGTAAATTGCTTGTTATCACAATGTTGTACTTGGCCACTCGAAACAAAACCGAGGGCTCGCTTTCGCGTGACATATGGGGGATGCTGAGGGGACCGTCTGTCACGCGCACAGCGCAACTCGCCACAGACCTGTTGAACAACATAAGATTGGAGTTGCCGCAGACCTGAAACCAATCCCTTGACTGGGTTGCATAGCGTGTGCACCGGCACTGAGACACCGAAACCACTTACAGAACTGATATCCCCATCCTTATTTCCAGACAACAACAACAAAAAGTAGGGTAAACGGAGAGAAACCTTCGTCACCTGGTATTTGATTCTGCCAGAGCAGACGTGTACCAGACAAAAAAATAACACAAATGAAAGTGACGCGAGTTGGTCGCGACTAGGTGTCGTAAAACTTTACGGCACGAAGGAGTAGCAGCATGAAACGTAGTCACTGATCTTGCCATGCTCCCTGTACTCAGGGGGACTCAAGACGAGACGACACCGCTCTCAGACAAAGACTTCTTAACTATACCGTGTGGAAACCCGGACCAACAAAATATCAAAATGGAAAAGAAGTGGAAAGAAAAAGACATCTATATCGAGTCAACTGAAACACCGCATGTTATGTTTATCGGTCCACGGTGGGGCTCTCGTTAAAAATGTATTAGCCTTGTCCGAAGCCGGCGATTCAATTAGAGCGGAGATCAAGAAAACAGGGGAGAGAAGAGGAGGCGATCCATCAAAAACCACTCAAACGGAGAGAACGGCATGCGCTCCCGTGATGTACAGACACTTGCACGCTCTCCCTGGGACCCTTCCAATTTTATTTTTCGGGAGCGGGCGGTAGCGGGCTTCATGTAGCGCGGATGAAACGGGAGCATCTGTTGAAGAGGCATCGGGACGCTTACCTGGGCTGACAGTAGCCCATTTCAAAGGCAATTTAGGGGAGAGATGGGGTGATTTGGAGACCCTTTAGCCGTGATTGAACATTACTCAATTTATGCTGTGATTTCAAATCAACATTAGAAGAGAAAAAAGTCGCTTTCAAAAACATTCGACCGTACATTTGGTAAACTTTGTTTTTCAGCTTCGAGTAACATTGGAGCCAATGAATACGCACAAACATTAATATAACATGGTACTCATGAGGTTATGCTAATGAGTATGACGTCATAATGTGCCAATGTTCTTGTGCAACATCGGAATATGGATATTTAACGCACGCGGAAACTGCCCTTTAAGATGCATTGCGAGTGTTTCGCTCAAAAATAAAACCGAAGTATTTTTTCTCTTTTCGGGTGTAAAAAGAGTGCCGAAAATGCCGAAAAATGGCAAACATGGTGCTCATCCGACACTCGGCCATATTTTAAAAACTTGGGCGAGACCCCCCTCGAAGCTGAACCCCCCTGCGAGAGGGGTACTATACGCGGTGGACAGGTGAAACACTCAGCGCGCTCATGCTTAAAACCTCCAAACTCGCGCCAGGATAAATTTTCCTACGAAAATTTGCTGTTGCTTACCGTTTGCCAAATGAATGCCGAAACTTCTCGGAAAGTTTGCAAACTTTTTCAAAGGATGACAATCGGTGTATTGTTCCATGTGTCGGACTCCTTCAATCGCGAAACCGCCTTGTTAACTACCCGCTTCGCTATGCGCGCTTTGCGAAGTTCGAGACACAGAAAACATTTTTTTTTTTAGCATGAAAGTTTAAAATTGCAAAAGAAAAATGGCGCCTACCCTTTTTCCGTTCCAGAAGTTCAGCCGCAGCGGTCTTGCTGTCCCGAGTCAGCCCCTGGCCCAGCACATTGCACCACTTTCCGTAGAGAGCATTGCGCAAAATCTCAGGACTGATGTAGTCGTGTGGGAGTAGGGCCTGGTCCATGACAGCTGGCGGTTGACGATTTCACCCCGAGCAGGTGAAGGGAAAAAACCCGACTGTCACTTCTATCTGCCGCAATCACTTGTTTATATAGAAAATTTTCCCTGGCCGAGCAGGGATCGCCCATTCAAGTAGCAGTCGGGGATAATGAGCGGCAAATATGGCTCTAACAACCGAGGAAATGCAGCTTGGTTGACAATCACGGCCCCGGCGAACAAAGGGCTCTGTTTTGCCGATTGAACATAATAAGTGTCTCTGATGATTATTATGTGCCCTATCACCGGCCTGGGCATTTAATAGTGCATTTCCAGCGGGTCGGGTACACTTGACAACTCGCCCATGCACCTGCAGCTTGGGGGCCAGAGCGTGTGCTCGCTCCCCGGCCGCTTACTTGGCAACAAAAGTCGATCGCTTTTTCGCTTATTTCAATGGTGAGGAACGAACATGATGAATTGTCGGCTGCCTGCTATGCTTGTTCTAATAGCTCAATTAATATAAATAAATAACAAAACGATAAATGTTTCGGGAGCGTGCGGGGCGCGAGTGCCAGTGCAACAAGGCAACCTGCCATTGGCGCTCCGGCGTTGGCTGTTTGCAAGCGGGCACAATCGTGCCGCCTGTTCGGTCGGTTCCTGCTCGCTCGGCTCGGCCATGGCACCCCCACCGCCGGGAGCCAGAACAACCGGTGTCTGCTGCCTAGACAATGCCCCCCAAAGACGGCCAAAGCTAACACTATCAGGCCTGCTTCGCTCTGTTTCAATCGGAGACGACCAAGATTGGACGAGAGCGGCGCGTTCTTGGCTGACGGGCTTTGGAAAGCGAACGACGGCACACCATCCCAACGTGGATCGAGCTGACGCGCCGGCCAACTCACCAGGGTCGGCAGGAGGCGCACCAAATCACAGACTCGTTCGATCAATCTCAACCCTTTGTTCTGGCTCAATCGGAACTTTTTAAAGCCAAAACCGAATCACCAAGATTGACCAAAGATTTATCTTGGCAGCCGAGCCGTCAGACGGGCTGTTCAACACAATACAAAGCCTATCAAACCGGCACTTTTGGCCCATCTGCGCACCAAAACTTGGCTCGCTCTATAGGCAAGGTGCAGGCACAACCGCCACCCCGTAGTCCCTACTCACCTTGAAAAAGACCCAAATAACGATTCTGGGGACTCTTTGGGCAAATTCATCGCTAGCGTCTTGACGAAACGGCGAGTTGTCGAAAAGACATTTTCCGCGTCTTGGCACGAAAACAGCATTGTGTAATAAGCGCATATACAACAAGTACGTGTTACACTATACGCACACGCTCTCCATTGCGACTCGCACCGTCATGATATATCACCCCCTCACCCTGTTGCCATTTGAGCGTATTCGATGCCTCCTCCCACACTCGTCCCACGATGGGAAATATTTCAGATTTTCAAAAATAAGTCTTTTCCTCTTTATAATGTTAATTTTTCTATGATGTTTCAGCGTGTTTTTGGCCCAGTGTGTCTGTGTGTAGCGTAGGCAACTTGAGTCGTATGTACAGTATGCATAATAGGGGGGTCGTAAACATACCGGCAAGCGGAGGGCAAGGGAACACTCTCCCGAATCTTCGGCCGACCAAAGTGATGTCAATTTGTTTTTCCGCGTGACTTTGCAGTCTTTTGTTTTCTCACAAATTTCGTGTCTTTTCTTTGTGGTGACCCAAAAATCCTTTGTTGTGAAAGACAACAAACAAAATCATTATAAAACACTTAAACACGCCCGCGCCAGCGCCGCGCTATGGCGGAATCGGGAGTTGAAATGTGTGCGCGATGACGTCGTCATTCCGCCTGGTTACTACATCTCACTGCCATTTTAACCACATTCGCACTTTGTCAGATAAACACCTTACGTTAATCAAAAGTCAAGTTACTGTTTTTTTCTGTGGAAGCAGGTAATGTTTTTTTCCTTTGGACTGGTAATTAAAGTTTGGGTAATCTTTGTCTGAGCCCGGAGCGTGCTCAAGATGCTGACCACCATCTTACACCCCCTCCCCGAACGGGGGCTAATCGAGGCCACACTCGCCGTCTACGTGCACAGAGATTGGTCTCGTCCACTCTTGTTCTGTTGTTCGCGTGTATGCCGAAGGCTTTTGCCTCTGTCAGGGGTCACTCTCAATAATGTGAAGACCCTAACTGGCGATCTCATCTGAGCATGCTGGTTGGGATAACGCTCTCGATTGGTCAGCAGCCCAATGCGTAAAAGAGTGACACCCCTATCAACCAATCAAACACTCTGTCATTTTAGCCCGTGGTTTAAGCGAGTGTAAACATTTAGAGAGCCGCTTTTTGGCCACTTCGTCCTGATCTTGTGATTTTGTTTTATACACAACAAATTAACTGACTGAATAAAAGACACAATCAATGACCTAACGGTATTCGCTTTAACTGATTAGTAAAGTTATTAGACACGAAATTACTATCGCTTTGTGTAAAGTGGGTAAGAAAAGCAGAAACATTTTAAGTGCCGTCTAAGTTGGAAATTTCAAGCACGTATACAAAGTGCAGCACAATTTGTGGATCTTACTTTTTTTTCTTTGGGTCATATCGAATTCTAGGCTCACCATGCATGGACAAAAAAGGGATATCAGCTTTGTGGAAATGTGGCCCGTTTGCAAACCGTACGCACAGACAAAAACAGGTCCCTGCGAACGTGCTTCCGTACGGTCAAATCTCTCCAGCTAGCTCTGTACGCGCCGGTTATTTTCTTTCACTGTTGATTCTGTCAAATTCGGAAGCGTGAGAAACCTATCTAGGTGGCGTAGTGTGTATACATAGGCGGTGAGAGCTGGGCCGCACAATGGGCCAGTGATACGTTTGGTGTGATGTTGCCAATGTTAGTGGGAGGGTAATTAGTCTAGCTGGGCAAAGAAAGAGAGACAAACGGAGAGAACATTGGTTAAAACATCGCAACATTTTTTTGAAGCAGTGGATGTGGTTGGGTGGTGAGGCAGTGTACCGTCGTCTGCCGGAGCAATTTCGACTGAACAAACATTGAAGTGTAGGGCCTATTGCTTGCAGTGTGTAAATAATCCCTTGAGTTAATAGGAAAAGAATGTACTGTAATGGTCTGTAGTTGGGAAAACCAGTCAGTTGTTGTTTGAACGATTGTTCCAAACATCAGAGAATGATCCTCGACTTGATTTTTCTACCATTTTCTTTTAAATAATGGAGATGTGTTGTTGGTCTGATGACGGCCTAGGCCTGTTGTGAGATTCAAGATAAATGCATAGGCCACGTTGTTACATTTTGAGAGCTAAATAATAATACATCATTTTCAACACTATTATTTGTATCCTATAAATTAATTGACGGACAGATCCTTTTTTTTAAAGAACTAACTGCTCCAAAAAATTACAGTTTTAAAAATTATATAAAGACATAGGGCTACTTAAAATAGGGATGAATTAAACAAAGGCAAACCATCTTTATTATATTTTGTGGAGGAAAAAAGATTTGAAAATGGGATGGGTATGGAAAGTGAAGCTATTTTGGGGGGCCAGTCTTCACAACTAAAAGCAACATGTTTTGTAATTGGGAGGTTTCAATAAGATGTTCCAAATGTGTTAGATTTAATACAAGGATAAAATTTGAAGTGTACTGAAAAAAAAAATAACACCGTCACTGACACGCCCTCTGTTGTGCATTACTGTCAGTCAGATTTACTTTTAAATGTGACCTATACGAATTACATCAATTCAAAGGACAATCTTGAAAATTCAACAACACACAAGTAACGGCGTCTCCAGAGATGCACAAAAGTTAAAATTTAGCTCGCACGTCGCAGTACGAAAGTTTGGAGAGAAAAAAAATATGCGGGGAGGGAAAAAAAAGGAAGACTGAATCTCCCGCGGTTATCTCCACGGCATCTAGCCTCTGAATTAATAACTTTCATGTGTGGCGTTTGTTCCCCAGGGTACGAAGAATGTCAGGCACAAAACGGATTAGCATGCAATATTGTAACATTTTATGATGGTTATTAAATTCTGTCAAATTGGATTTGCCGAGATTTCTTCTTACTTTTCAGGGGGCAGGAGGGCGGAGGATGAATCTAAAGTGAAGAGCTGCACAAAGAACGCCTGAGAAGTTGGGGTAAGAGTGGGTCATAGTACTCACTCCCTGACAGGTGAGAGGGGGGTTAGATTGGGGACTTCTGGGTGAAAGCGAACCCCACATATTTTTTTCTGCGAGCACATATTAGGATGTTGACAACAATCCCAAAAATCACTCATTGCTACCAGTCAATAACGAACGTATAAATTAATCGAGCAGGCTACGTACAGAAGCTGGTGCCCATCTACGATGTACATGCCAGAGTTTTTGTTGTAATGTTGAGTTTCGCACATGCCAGAGTTTTGCTGTCGAGTTTCAACTCGACGAAGAAATGTCCTAGTTCTTGGGGTGGGAATGTTTTGTGATTTGAGTAGCAGCGGAGGCAATAATGACCATGACTGTTACATCATTGTGAATATCGCTAGAGCTGTGATAAATCGATTGCACTCAGCTACGATCTTTGAGGTGTGTTTTGTTGTTAATTCATTAACAATGAATGCGCAAGAGGTTCACTCATGCGTGTCACTGTTGAACAAAAGCACACACCACAAACATGGCCGCAGTGCAAACGGTCTATAGTTGCCAGCTTTATTGGAGTAGTCAGCACTGGTTAATCCACTAAAGCTGCAAATAGAGTTGTAACACCAAGTTTAATAAGACACCAACATTCTATGAGGAATGAAGGTTTTGCACTCTTTTATTTTCGGGGAATTTTTCAGGTTTGATGTTCAGGTCGGTGACCATGCAGGCCCGGTTTACCCAGTAGGCACAGTAGACACTGTGCCTATAAGGGCCTACGAAAAATTTGGGGCCTATATACGAAACTTTGAGGGCCTACAAAAATACTACTAGTGTGCCAACAGACTTTTAGAGTTATCAGTTTGGCCTGTCTTGTTTAGTTTAGTACATCGACATGAAGTTGGTGCTGGTGCCTAGTGCGGAGTAGGGCCTACGAAACACTGGTGCCAACACTTAATGCCGTGG